TTAATTTCCACATATTTATGAATTGGCCAGTTTTGCTCGTTATTGATTTCTAGTTTCATATCATTGTGGTTAGAAAAGATACTTGATATAATTTCAACCTTTAAAAAATTTTTAAGACTCATTTAGTGGCCTAACATATGATCTGTCTTTGAGAATGCCTTATGTGGCTTGAAAGGAATGTGTTGATGGATGGAATGTTCTGTATATGTCTGTTAGATCTATAGTGTTATTTGATTCCAAATCTTCTTTGTTGATTTTCTGTCTGAATGATCTATACATTGTTGAAAGTGTAGTATTAAAGTCCCCTACTTTTATTGTATTGCTATCCCCCTTCACCAGGCTGGTCTGTTGCCTGGAGGCAGGCCTAGAACCTGGATTCACTGGTGTTTGGGCCCTTGTGTTTGGGTCCATGGGGGCAGATCTGGTATCTGGGACTTCACTGTTGGGCGTGAATCCTGGGTTACTGGGACAAGCCTGCAGCCTGGTTTCTTGGAGGTTGACCTGTTGCTAAAGATGGGTCTGTAGCCTGAATCTTCTTGGACACTCCTGTATTCTGGGTTTGTGTGGTGCCTGGTTTTACTTGACAGGTTTGGTGCTGGGGTTTGTGGTGAAGTTAGGTACTCACTTCATTCTTCTTCCTACATTGGATGGGTGTCTTTCTTCACACTGGGTTGCCTGGGATTTGGGGTTGGGTAACATAGGAAATGTGAGATTGTCTTTCCTACACTCTTCAATGCATCTTTTCATATTTCTGTGCTCGACCATGAGCTGTAATCTCTCACTTGGAATCCTTAGCTCTTGTGAAGGTATTTTTGCACATGGATAGTTGTTCAAATTGATCTTTCTATGAGGGTATGAGTGCTGGAAACTTTTATTCTGCCATCTTGCTGATGTTACTCCTATGTCATTTAACCTCTTTTTTTAATAAATGAGGAAAATGAAATCTAAAGAGCATCTAAACAAGGATCCTTCTTAGAAATTGTTAGTTGTAGAGCTAAGATTAAAAGTCATATCGTTTATTTTTTACTCCATCATGCTGATTATTTCTATTATTTAGATTGTTTCTATAATAACTAATTTCTACTCTCTCATACGTGTTTTTCTCCTACCAATTTTAGAAATGTAACATGTTTATTGTAGAATGTCTGGAAAGTTCCCCAGAACAAAAAGATTAAAATAATCTTATCATTCAGAGATAACCAGTGCATAATGTTCTGGCATTTGTTTCACATGTTCATTAGAAACTGTTGTGTTGCAGTCTGTCTTTTCAGTTTATATATTTTGATTCATTTTTCTCTGGTCATGAAATAGTCTTTTAAAAACTGGGTTATAAAAATATAAATAAATAAATACAGGTATATATTTTAATTACAGTACTATTATGTACTGGTGTTTAGCTTAATGTTTTCATGCATATTTGGATAATTTATAAGGAATTAACATGGAATTACTTGGTTAAAGCATATGAACATTGCAGCATTTTTGCTATAAAATATGATATTTGCAAATGTGTCTGATGATGTCTGATAATGATTTTAGATGCATGTGGACGTGGTCTTAAAATTACTACATGGCTAGTATAATTGCTCTTACATTATTTGGTTATGTCAGTGTTTCCTAACTTTTTTTCACACTGTAACATGCTGTGGTATACATAGAAAATGACAATAATTGTGTGGTATGCCAGGGAAAACTGACATGGTTATTGCCCTGCTCTGTTACCCTAGGCCTGGCCTAGCTACCCAGACTGTTGAGAGGATCAGTATTTAAGTCACTTACAAAACCCTGGTTGGAAGCTCTAGGTTAGAGCATAGTGATGATAAGTTCCCAGGTTATTTTCCATGTGTTATGTCAGATTTTCCCTGCATCTTACAGTGTACCAGTATTGCAAATATGTACGGTTTATCTACTCTACCATTAATGGATATTTAGGTGTTTTGCAGTATTTTTAATTATAGATAGTGCTATAAAAATATAACTTTTGCTGGAAATAAGCACTTATTTTTCTTGGGTATATACCTAGGAGTGGAATTGCTGGGTCATAGATTAAGTATACATTTAATTTCATTAGATAATAACAGCTTTCCAAAATAATTGTGCAGTTTTACATTCCCACCAGCAATATGTGAAGTTCCAGTTACTTTATTTCAGGTAGTACTTTGCATTATCACTTCTTTTATTTTAGTTATTCTGGTGTGCGTATACTGGTATTTCATTGTGCAGTACTCTGATTAATGATGCTGAGCATGTTTCAAATGACCACTGGCCATGTGGATGACTGCTTTTTTTTTTTTAATTGAACATTTTATTTTGAGATAATTATAGATTCTTATGCAGTTATAAGATATAATAGAGAAATAATAGAGATTGGGTTTCTCCCAATGGTATCATTTTGCAAAATGGTCATAAGATATTGCAACCAAAATATTGCCATTGATATAGTCAGTTGGATATATTTGTGTGGGTCTGTTTCTACGTTCTCTATTCTATTTCATTAATCTACTTGGCTTTCTCCCAATATCACAAAGACTGATTGCTGTAGCTATTTAATAAGCTTTGAAATTTGGTAGACTGAGTCTTCCCATTTTATTCTGTTTTTCAAAATTGTTTTAGCTCTTATAGTTCTTTTGCTTTTCTATGTAAGTTTCAGAATAATCTTGCCTATATCTACAAGAATCTTTCTCAGATTGTGATAGAAATTTTGTTAAACCTGTATATCACTTTGGGGAGAATTGACATCTTTACCATGTTGAGTTTTCTAATCTATGAACATTTATTTACATAATCTTTGGTTCTTTCATTAGACTTGTGTAGTTTTTAGCATATAAGAGCTATATAAGTGTTGTAGATATTTCCCTAAATATTTCATTTTTTTGAGGAGTTATAAATGTTATTGTATTTTTAATTTCAATGTCCATGTGATCATTGCTTTTATATAGAAATACAGATAATTTTTGTATTTTTGTCTTGTGCTCTATGCTTTTGCCAAACTGCTTTATTAGTTCTAGGAGGTTTTTCTTTCTTTCTTTCTTTTTTTTTTATTGGTTTGAGATTTTCTATGTACACAGACAGTTATGTTATCTGCAAATAGGGACAGTTTTATTTTTTCCTTCTCAGGAACAGAGGGGATTTTTTCCCCCCTGTAACTGATTGAATATATAATAGAGTACTAGATTCTGCCCATTGTTAAGTCTAAAATGAAGGAGATACTACATTCCAAACCTGAAGATACTAGGGGAACAACCTTTAGAACTGATGACATAGTTGAAGATCAGAGAGTAATTGAAAATGACACCAACATTTTGTTTCTAAGTAATCAGGCGGGTTTAGGTAATTAGGATAGGAAACTCCTAAGAAAAAGCATTTTGGGGAAATAAAACTAGTTCTACTTTGGACATGCTGGTTTTTTGATGCCTATGGCACATTCTTGTTGACATGTCCAATAGACATTTGAAGTATGGATTAAGAATTTAGATGAGAGGTTAGAATTGTAATAGGAATTTCTACTTTGAGATAATAGGTGATACGTTGAGAGAGAGCATATGTAGAATGAGTAGAGATCTGAGGAAGAAATGCTAACAAAGAAATAGCATTTGGAGATTTGATGGGAGAATGAAAAGAATGCACCGTCACAGAAACAGTAGAAACTAGTCTTGTCAAAATTCTACCTGTCAAGATCTATCTTAGAAAGTTTAGTGACATTTTCCAGACATCACCACCTGCCCAGCCCTGTTCTCCTTTTAGTCATTCCCTAGTATATGTTTTTATAGCAGTTTCTATTTTTTGTAGTGTACCATTACTACACTGCCATATTTTAGTTTATTGTTAATGTATCTATTTCTTTATAAGATTTTAAGTTCCTTGGAGACAAGGATTAGATCTTATTCATTACTTTTTTTGTGTGTGTGTGTATGGCATAATTCTTAATAACAATTTGTTTAATTGAATAAAGTTCTAGATGGTTAGTTTCAGAGGCTTCACGAGGATATCATTATTAAATTATCTCAGGAGACATGGTTCCATAGTGTAGTGGTTAGCATGT